AAGCCAGGAAAAAGATGCAAAGATGGAATGTGTGTATGTGTGTGTTTAAAGGTCTCTGAGATTTTTTGAAACATTGCTTTAAAAATGTAGTTGTAAGTTTTAAAGAAAAGCACATATATTTTATTTCAGTCAAATAAAAAGTGTTTTTTTTTTTAACTGAAATATAGCATGAGTAGTTCAAAAGACAACTTATTGTCTTATTGTGCATGTGGGCTTCCAGAACCACATTTGCTCTAGATCTTACTAAATTTTCAGTCTTTGTCTTTGCTTCTCATTGTCTATTCAGATGTTTGCTCTATGCTTTGTTTTGTGTAATAATATGTATGGTTCTTTCTGTCTTTTCCCCTCTAACTTCCACAGTTATAAATTTCTCTTACTTTGTATTTGAATTACAAATTTTTCTCTGCTGACTCCTAATCCCCAATTTTCTCTTATTTCTTTTTCTTGCTTCAATAGGGACTAACTTAAAACTAAAAAAAGTTATTTTAGTCTTTTTGTTGATGATTGCATATGCAATGAGTAGAATGTGTTGCCTATTATTGTCAAAAATAAAATCAGATCAAGTTAGAATTTTGAGAGTTTATTGTATATACAAAAGAATAGTTCATGAACTTGTGAAAGACAATGGATGATTTATTTTCATAAAATGGAAAGAAGTCTGCTAATGTGACCAAGAGCACGTACTAGGAAGCAGACATGACCAAAAGTTTATTAGAAAGAGAGGTGTGATGACAGTCATGTCATTTTAGGAAAAATAAAACTTAAAAATAAGGAAGCTGCAGTCCTCCAATCAAATAGCATCAGGTATTTATTTTAACCTCATTTGGACCAAAACCTCTTAGGTGACATCCAATAGATAATTGGAACCCTGCAGTTCTCAGCTAACTGGAGAGGAACTACATCTCTAAGTCCATCCTTTGATTTTGGACGAGTGAGTTTGTTTTTCACAAACTGAAAAACTCAAACTGAAAGATGGCATGAAATTTCAATTTTACAGTAGTTATAGCAAATTTACAGTGCATAAAGAAATATTTTGACCTTTTCATATTTGGCTATCATTATTTGTTTTTAAGGCAAGAACTGTTAAAGCTGATTTGTCTATAGCTACTAGCTTAATTCCATTAAATCATGCTGAAAAGAACAAAACGCTAATATCTGTGCTGTTTCTGTTCAGGGTAGGGTTTCAGGGAAAATCAAGATGATTTAAATTTTGGTTACACAGCTGTGGTCAGTTAGCTGGGGCATATCTAAACTGTGGTCTCCATTTTCATTTATTTAATTTTAACACAACTAAAAAAACAGCTACAAAGAGCATCCCATTCAAGTAAAAAGTTTTCGATTTGATCTCCAACTAACCTATTTCGTCTGTTTTTGTTGTTGGCTTTTTAGTACTTTTGATTTGTTTAAAAGCGGAAGATCTATATTATTCCTTTCTTGTGAACATCATTTTATTATCTACATATTCCATATTTTTTAGCTAAAAGTTAGCTACTGTTAAACAATGAAAAAAACAAAAGAAATAGTTGGCACTGCTAGGGCTTGGAAAAGTGAGAGGTTTTTATTTAATTTTCTCCTTTATTGTGCAAATAAAATTTATTTCTACATATGTGTAGTTGGAATAAGCTAAAGTTTTTAGGGAATAAATTGGGTCAGAGAAATGGAAATAAAAGGTCAATATTTTTCAACTTTTTATTTTTCAGGAGGCTTAATATAATTTAATTTTGAAAAATATTTAATTTCAAACACATTTATTTCTCCAATGGGACAACATTTTTGATATACTGTTCCCGTCAGATAACTTCAAATGTCAAATACTCTGAAACCAATACAGGAAATGGTATAGAAATATATAGGCCCTCTGACCCCCGGAGTTTACCTATAGTCCTGTTGTCCTGCATTTAATGAGGACCATAGTTCTTTTCTTTACCCAGTCACTGGGGTCTAATAATGTAAGCTGGCACTATTACTCCATTCCCTCCCAGGGCTACAAAACTCTTCTTAGCCCACAAAACTTGTTTTCAGCCACTACACTTGAATTTCTATTTTGGAGTTAGGATTTATACTTCTGGAATGTTTTACAATTAAAAGCAAAGAGATTTTAGTCTAATCAGCTACCCAGTTGAGGATGTCTTTCACAAAATTCCTGAGAATTCAATAATGCAGTGAAGAAAGGATGTTTCTATTATAGAAATGTTTATGAACCAGGAGACAATCAATTGCCTTTTTGGTGCGTTTAAGGGATTACAAGAATAATAACAACAACGACAACAACAATAGCTAATACCTCTTGAGCACTTACTATATGGCAATTACTTTATTAGAGAGGAGGAAACTGAGACTTGGAGAAATTCTCGAACTTCTCCCAGGACACAAGACCAGATAGGGGCAGAGCCAGATTCAAGTTTAAGCTCTCTAAATCAGAGGCTTGATCTTAACCTTTGTAGTGTACGTTTTCCTACTTAGCCAAAATAAGCCACTCTTTAATCTCTACCCAATTGGTCTAAATTCTACCCTTTGAGGCCAACCAGAACACGTTCATTTTTTCCTCCCTACTCATTTACATAACACAAAACATCAACCAAGCACCTCCCAGGTGTTTGATACTGTCTTTGAGTCTGTAATATAGAAGTGAAAATAGGACAGTTTCTGCCTTAAATTTTTTGAAAAGACTCACCAAGTGCTAGGGGTTTTCCCTTTCTCAGCCTAAATTTTCCTACTCTTTCAATCACTCATCTTAGAGCCAAATTTCAAATTCTTATCAATATTGGTAATTTCTCTCTTCTAAACACATTCTGGTTTGTAAATTTCTCTTTTAAAACATAACCACAGGGTCGGGCTCGGTGGCTCAGCCTGTAATCCCAGCACTTTGGGAGGCGAAGTGAGTGGATTGACTGAGCCCGCGGGTTCTAGACCCACCTGGGCAACTTGGCGAGACCTCATCTCTACAATAAATCAAAAATTAGCCGGGCGTGGTAGCACGTGACTGTAGTTCCGGCTCCTCGGAAGGCTGAGGCGGAAGGATCGCCGGAGCCCGGCGGGTCGAGGCTGGGGTGGTCGAGAGCGGCCGCTGCACTCCAGTCTGGGCGACGGAGTGAGACTCCAACTCAAAAACAAAACAAAACAAAAAACAAACAAAAAAACCCCAAACAAACATGGGGGGTGGGGGGGGGAGGGAGAGAGAGAGAGAGAGAGAAAGAGAGAGAAAAGAACTATTAAGGCAAACAGTCTGAGTGTATGTCTTACTTTTGCTTATAATCTCTAAGCCTCTCTTCTCCAGACTTGTAGAATGGTACAATTGGACACGGCAATTTGTAGCATTCAGCGATGTAAACTCTGTTTACTGTGACACACTTCCTTAACATTATGAATGACTTTCAAGTGTCCTCTAGTATCGCAGACATGACGCTGGAAGCCATCTTGCATCTGTAACTTCTGTTCTTTGGTAGACCTGTCAGGTGCTGGTTTTGCTGAGTCACTTGGCAGACTACAGCATCCTCTAGTGGTCAGATTTAACTCTCAAGACAGGTATATTCCGCATATCAGAGGAAATTAACCTAAATCTTAAGGGTGTCAGGTAATATGCTGTTAGGTAATATGTTTTCCAAGTGTGCAATAGCTTTTGATTGATTATTTTCTTGCTCCGTGGGTGATCTGTTTCCTGCTAAAATGAGAAAGCCTGATGTATCTCAGACTCTGTTAGCCCTCTACCCAGCTCTCCAAGCTAGGCTAGCTTTACATGAGCTCAGAAATTCAAGCTGCTTTTCCTTCTCTTTTTTTAAAAAAGTAGCTGTATATACTTTTTTCTTTTGGGGCACTTTCTTACATCTATCTTGTTTGCTGTACTTATTATAAACACATAGGCCTTTTTAATGGGATGGACCTTTGAATAGGAGAAATAAACAAAGAATAATCCAAGCAAGGTCATTGAGGTTTACAGGGGAGAAGCACTGGAGCTGGAGTCAGCTCTGGACTAAAAGCTTGAATGCCATTTTGCTGGTGATATTAGTCAGGTGACTTCACTTTTCTAAGTTTACTTATGTGATAAGGATGATCTTACAGGGTTATTGTGGCTCACACAGAAAGCAAGATGAACTGTACAATGTCCCTGTGACCAGTTTATCTCACCTATAGCCCCCTTTTCCTTGTGAGGTTCTCTCTTGAGGATGGTTTGATAGTAGAAGAGACTGTTCCTGAAGTTAATGCAGAATCAGGCCCTGCCCCATGGTCAGCTCAGCACACACCCACCATCCCTGTGCAGCAGTGTCTAAGCACAGTCGAAGGCCTCCATCTAACCACAGAGTGCCAGGGACAACCCTGGGTTCTATCTGAGGACCACTCACTGTGGTAGCTAATGGAGAATTGCCTCTGCTAGAGAAGAAAGAATTAAGATGAAATCCCGACACTGCTTCACAGCATTGTTGAGAACATGTACCTTTTTTTGTATTTTGTATTTCATTGTTGAGAACATGTACCTTTTTTGTATTTTGTATTTTCATAAACACTTTTTTGAGAAGATCTTGTGTGACCTAAAATCTACATTCTGAGAAATGTAGAAAAATTCAAGGTCTCGATTCTCTTCCACCAGACAGGCAACTCAATGCCCGTGTGTGTAGACCTGTGCCAGGCACAATGGATCTCACATTCCAAGGAAACTTAAAGGAATTAGTATAATCACCTAAATGTGATAACTACATGTTTCCAGACTAAGAGATTTATAACATTTATCCCTTAAAATAGTAGTCCAGTTCTCTGCAGGATGAAGTGTGTTTAAGATCAACTGTGCCCCGTCACTTAATATTGCAGTCATGTTTCCTGACACAGAGCCCTCAGGATGTGAGAAAAATGAAATGGGATCAGGCATTGTAAGGGGAACCCTATCTGAAATTACTGGATTGCTGTATTTTCTAAAACTTGGTCTATCTGGAGTCTTGTCTAAGTCCCCTATCCCCAGTATAGACAAACAAACCCTTCAGGAGAAAGCATATGAGAATAACAGAGTGTATTCAAATGCATTTATTTAACAATCAGGCCAGCCAGGCAGCCTGGTGATCTTATGGGATTTCAGAACCTTGGTTCTCAGCAAGGCCCGGATTTTTGAATGAGGACAGGAATCTGGCGCTTCCTGGGTATAGAAATAAAAAAAAAAAAATCAGCTTAAATTTTGCTAACAGAAAAGTGACTACAGGAGAAAAACAATAGGGAAAATGTCAGCTTTATTTAAAATAGAGAGATTTAAGATTTATTTTCATTTTTCTTTCTCTTTGATTTATTCATTCATGTGTTCATTAATTCATCAACTAGCTACTGGTTACTATTACATACACTAGGGATACAACAAAAGGAAAAATGCCTGCCCTTGCAGAGCTTACATATCTAGTGGGGTGTTACAGTAAACCCCTGAAATTAACCTCGAATCTACCATTGCTTCTTGTGTTCCTGATGCCACTGCCCCAGTGACCAGGTGTCCACTTAGCATGGGTGATCCCAGGACCTTCCAGCTGATTGAGCTTCTATCTTAGAACTCTGGGTATTCATGTCTGTGAGGTCTTAGAAAAGTAAATCATCTTTATCCCATGTGATTCCTGCTGGCTCTAAACATCCTTCCTTCCAGATAAAAACCTCTGTGCTCGCCCCACATCACCTTTCTCAAACCAGTTTTCTCTTCTCTCAGCTAAACATCTCAAAGCCCTGTAATTGTTTTTTATAAGAATGTTTCTAGATCTCTCAACTTTCCAACCATCCTTTCCTTGAATATACTAGTTTATGAAAATCTGCTTCTCTATTACAGAAGATGTCTGGCTTCCATACACTTTTATACATGCATTTATTTGGACTTTATTGACTCTTCATCTTAAGAGTTTTCAATGCTTTCTTGCCCCATAATCATTAACTGACACAGATCAGTTAGTATACATAAGCATGAACACCTAAACAGAGTACACAAGAGCTGACTTCAACTTTCTATAGCTATGTTGCTCACTGTGTCTCAATATGTTCACTATCCTTATGTAGCTATTCAAAGTTAAACTAGTTAAGGTTAAGTAATATTAAATATTTGGTTTCTCTGTTGTGCTAGTCACATGTAACTAGTAGTGGCCAGTGGCTATGTGTGGGACAGCACAGATATGGAAAACTAAATTGGATATGGGAAATTAACTTTCTTTTCATTAAAGAAAGCTCTGTCAAACAGTGTTGGTCTATAGAATATAATTTGCCAGTATAGATTCCCTAAGATGACATAGAAGAAATAGAAAAAGTCTTTATTGAATATATGCAATAAGAACATCACGACCAAAGAAACTACCATATACAAGCCCTTGTTTGGTATTAGCTACTTGTCTTAAAACCTGACAAATAGGGTCAGAGACTGGCTTTAATTACTACATAATGGATTTATTTGGGATTCAAATGGACCATAGAAAGAAAGGCAGTATAGTACATTAAGAAGTATGTTGCATCTGAGAATGCCATATTTTCTCTCTACAGCTAAACTTTCTTATCTGAGAAATATAGAAAGAGAGGCTACATTTTCTGGCATACAATTGTCTCTCCCATATGTATATATTTTTGAAAGAATAGTGACCAGGAAGTGAATAGTGACCAGTAGGTTTTAAAGTCTAAGAGAACAGGGTGTCCCAGTCCCATGCTCATATTTTCCTAATATTTTACTTTAAATATTGGGTGGTTCTTGTACATTTTCCAAGTCTCAAGGCTATTCTCTTGTTTCTTCTCCTCTTAGATGGAAATAGGATGTTTGATCTTAATGTCAACAACATAGGTCATGAGAAACTTAACAAGTGGCCTCAAATTCCTTTTAGAAACCTTAATTGCAGAAACAGATATAACATAAAGCAGTTAATGTTTTGGATCTAAAAGTTCAGGATATTAGATCTCTCACCTTTGGGACCTATTTCCATAATTCTTGTGCTCAACTCTGAAAATTTTCTGAAGTGGTTTAAAACAGCCCAAGAAGAGGGTTTGTATGGTAGGGAAGGGAACTTGTGCAGTAGAATAATGGAAGTTTATGCATTCATTGAACCTGACTCAAAGGCTTTAATAGCAAGTCAATCCCAGACGAACTAAGGTCACTTGTGGAATCCCTTGTATTTGTTTTGTTCATTCCACACCTTTATTTAACCTAAAATGCTCTTTCAATGCTGTCAAAATTCAGACCCCCATTTAAGTGGCATTCTTTTCATATCCTTTCTTGACCCTTTCAGTAAGAAGAAATCTGTGTCTCTGCTTCACGCCTTACACTTTACTTCCTGACATTTGCCCCAAGCTACAAGGAATCACTTGTCTATGCTCCTGACCCGTATCTCTTAGGCATAAGCATAAGCAAAGTGGGAACCAGGACCATGCTTGATGCAAAGTGTTCCATTGCTGAGTGAGATAGAAAATCTATTTCTCTGTGTGTCCTATCACCTACGTATAAGCATTTCAGAAAATGAAGCTTTATTGAAGTTGGCTTTCATAACCATGAATAAAAATGTTACAAAAATACAATCTAGTCATTTTATATTTGCATATTTCAGGGCTGTAGAAAACCTAATCATTGTAATCACTAAGAATTATTTTTTAATGTTGAAGGTATTTTGTGTATATAAGCTTTTAAATATCCAAACTGTCTACTGTTTTGCTACAAAAATGTGGATTTTTAATCCTACAAGTGATTTAAAAAAAATCATATTATCATACCATATATACAAAAGTAGAAAAAGAGAAAGAGAATTATTTTTGGAGAAAGCAGATGTTTTGTTTCTCTCATGGAAAGAGTTATGTTATAGGTATATTGACTGGGAATTTAGAGGGATAATATATATAAAAGTTTGAAGATAATTAACTTAAACTTTTTTAAAAAGAAGTTCAAATTTGTACTCACTGATTTTCAAGACATAGCATGCACTCATTGGAATAAGTGATTCCATCCGTCCCACAGACAGGATTGTATATCTTGTTGCATCCATTCACTTCATTATTACAATTAGCCTAAAAATGGAATTTAACAGAGTCATTTCTCATTATTCTCCATTTTTTGAGTTTATAGCAAAAACTCTGAAGTGATTTTAATTTCTCCAGGGTATGACTAGGATTGGGAGAATGACACTGCATGTTCCAAGAGAAAGAATCTAATATCTTGAGTAGAAAACTTGGTTTTAAGTAATGTTTCTGCTATTTCCAAGCTGCCTGACATTGGTTAAGTCCTTGGGCCTCTCTGAAACTTATCTACAAAATGGGAACAATATTATCCTTTCCCCAACTATCCCCTAATGCTGTCATGAGGTTTACATAAGATGAATGAGATCATGTTCAAGTTCACAGTCACTGCAGGTGCCAACTTCTCTCAGGTCAGCCACACCTTGGAACATGCTCTTCCTTGCACACCATGGTTCCTACACACTGACCTTCTCATAGGCACTTGAAGGCACTGGGTGTTTTCCAATCGTGGAGTCTTTGCATTCTACCCCAGTAAGAATTCATGATTACCAAATGACTGCTATAGGCCAGGTGTGGTCTTAAGTGCTTTTCATATGGTGTTCTATTTCAACCCCACGACGATCTTTTATTATGATTATACAAAGCGAAGAAGTCACCCAAGGACACACAACCCAGTAATCCCCAGACTCAGAATTCAAGCTCAGTCCCTACAGTCCCTGAGCTTCTGCTCTGACCACTTCACTCTGCCACATATCCCTACCAGTCGTGTCTTGCTAACATTTATTACCCTTTATGGCTCAGAATCACTCTCACATACCTAGGGCACCCCCCTTGGCTCTCTGGTTCGTTCCTAATCTTCACAATATTTATTACAAATTCAATCATTTATTCACTCAAGAACTTTTGGTTAATCTGCTGCCTTCCACTAGATATGAATGCAATGAGAAGAGGACACTTTCTTTGGTTTCTAAATGTACTGACGTTACATGAAAAAGTTAGATTTAGTGTATTTCTCTAGAGGGAGAACCTAGTTTATTACTTCTGTCGTTCATTATAAATTAGGGCTGTACCTTGGTGATTGGAAGATCTGCAGGTCAACATGGTCAGACAGACTGGCTGTAAGGTGGAAAGGCTGCTTGGAGGGGGCGTGAGAAGGTTTCCACTCCAAATACGTGTGCTACAGTTAGTGCTGGCATATATAGAAACCCCTCCACAGTAAGCACCATACAACTACACAGAACTCGTCTAAGCATCAGTGCACTTGTCCTTCAAGCCAAGTCTGTGGGGGAAATGCTGTCACTGTCTGCCTTTCACAGGCTGAGCCTCCCTGGCTTGCAACGTCCTCCTCTTGACTTCAGGTTCAACTGAAAGTGACAGTCAGACTATGTTTTCATGGGATCAAACAGATCCAGCCTGAGAAATAAGACATTGCAAAGTTCTCTTTACCTTTCTTCCCGGGGAGTCTGCCCTAGTGTTACCTGGAAGATAAATCAGACAAATTCAGTTGGGTACTAAGTGAGAGAGGCCAGATCCACTTTTACTCCGATTCTTTCATTGCAGACTGCAACTTTTCTGCTGGCTCTCTCCACTCCCTACCCCTGCTGACTTCTGTTCTCTTTCCAGGACATCTGACTGGCTTCCATCCACTCTCTGCCTGTTGAAACTTGGAGAAAATGAAGTAAAAATTGGATTATAACCGAAGCATCTCATTTGGTATTTCAGTTGAAAGGCTGATCTATTTCCTTGAAAATGGAAATTGTGTACTTACTGCTAGAAACGTTATCATGCACAGAGCAAATAGCTTTAGAAGGTATTTATCACACCAATTACATTATCACACTATTTACTAGAACTTTGACCTTGAAGTTAGTGAAACATAAGTATCTTTGTCTCAGTGTATGAGGAAGGTATGGAGAGTTCATAAAACTAGCTGTGAAACTAAAGTTACTAGTAGCAGTAACCAGGTCTTCTGATGCAAAATTAACTTTTGCAATTACACCTAAGTCCCTTTTGTAAGTAATGGTAAAAAATTGACCTCTTTTGCCAACTCACTACCAGTTCCCAAAGAGCTAGTTCTACAGCTGCATTATACTCACTGTAGGTCCAGCTCATACTTCTTGAATTTGCAGATGGTCACAATAGCCACTACATTCCCTCATAAAACAGCAAGGGTCTTGCTGCCTTCATGTAGGGGATGGGAGCTGTGGATGAGTTTATTGAAGGGAGGGGAACTATCTGATAGCACCCAAAGGAGGAAATGTTGGTGGGATTTAATTTTAATATCAACACTTCCTGAAGTGATGTTGGTAAGGAGGTAGTGCTTCTTATCTAAACATGGCAGAAAGTAGTGAGGCATCTATAGCCTTGGAGAAAAAGACCCCTAGGGACAGTCAGAACTTGATGTTGTTGGGCCCATTGGATTTCAGAGTCTAGTTGAGTCTAAAACTGGATGAGCAGGTGCTCATCACCACAGACATCTATTTGTATTAACTAATAAGCACAAGGAGGGGAAAGGGACCACTGCTCCCACAAATATTCAGCAAATACAACAAACAATATCCTTCCTCTTCTTAGCAAAGTGCTGAGTTTATGCCCAGGATTCTTCACTAGGTCAGAGATGAAGCTGAAAATGTTCATCATTTTCATGGTAAAAAGGGAACTGATCTTGATTCTGTGGCTTCAGGATTGACTGTCAACATTGTCAAGATGTAGTTTGAGGATATATGTCCATCATCACTCAAGCAGTAGGTTTTACCTCTTGCCATTCTGCAGATCCAAACTAAGTTTTTTAATCAACCAAACTCTGAATAACCAGAAGCCATTGCTATCTAATTTATGTAATTACATTAGAATTAAAAATTTGTAAATTGACCAGAATTAGAAGGATATTTAAGGTTGAAATACTTCCACCTTTTTTCTCTACTGTATCCCTAGCAAAGGGTCAGCCATGTTACCAGAGGAAAATTATCCTATCTTCGTACAGTTTGCACTAGTAGAATTATTTTATTTACATGATGCTAAAAATCCCTCTATCTGTAGTTCTCATGTGTAGATCTCATTTCATCTCATTGGTACCAAAAGATCTATCTAAGACTAGACCATGTCAACAGTCCAGAAGGTAATGTGCTCAGCAAAGCAACAGGTCAAAAACATTTCACTCAAATTTGAAAACTCTGCAATGACACTTACCAGATAAAGTAAACAGGGCCAAGGCACTGAGAAGAAAAATGGCTGTCACCTTCATGGCTGAAGTCTGTGTCCAGTGTCTGTTGAAAATTGCGTGGTACTTGCCACTACTATTCAGAATGTTGGGACTGGCAGGACCTTATAGGGAACGGCCATGGGCCCCACCTGCTATGCTGCGTCACAGGTCTCCTTGGTAATTGATTAACTCTGTGTCATAGCCTGGCCCCAGATTTGGAGAATGCCATCTGTGCAAGAAAGGTGAAAGGAGCCAGATGGGCCTGAATATGCAAGACCAAAGTTTTGCCAGGAAAACAGTGCTGGTGGTTAGAGGAAGGCCTTCCCTTCTCAAGCCCCACTGTTCTCATCTGTAAGGTGAACTCGAACTCCCTTTTACTATGTAGTTCTGAATAGATTAGCAGGTACAGATAGTGGAAAGACCTTCATTCTTACTTCCTCTCTTCCCTTATTATTCTTGTTTCTTTTTTCCCTCTTTTTCTGTCACCCATTCACCAAGCCTAAAGTAGCTGATGAAGGGGCAGGGAAGAGAGGGGGAGGACTCAGCTCCTTAAAGTGTATACTCTGGAGCTAGACGGTACTGGCTGGGGCTGCTTGGCAGCTGTATGTTCTGGGAGAGTTGACTCACTTTTGCTGAGCCTTGCTTTATTCCTCTGAAAATTGAAATAATAATGGTTCCTCACTTTTGCTTGAGTGTACAGCATGTGTTGTCAGGAGACAATTCTCCATTCTTTCTCATGTTTTGATATGTCTGATGAGTAGCACTGATCACGCTTGTTTCAGACCACCTTTTCAGGGGTGCTTATATAATGAATGGCTTTGGAAGATAAAATATCTCTTTCCAGAGCAAAGAGCAGGTTTGTTTACTGTCTAGTATAGTAAGGACAATCTCCCCTACCAGGGCTGGATTTACTTTCCTTTTAAAAAAACGTCATCTGAATGGTTTATCTTTCAACAAAGCTCCCACCAACAACCACTGGGGAGAAGAGAACCTATCTGGTAAATGGTGCTGAGAAAACTGGCTGACCACATGTAGATTAAAACAAGACCCCTACCTATCACCATACACAGAAATAAACTCTGAATGGATCAAAGACCTAAACGTAAAACCTCAGACTATAAGAATCTTAGAAAACACAGGGGACACCCTTACAGAAATCAGAGTAGGCAATCAATTCCTGATCCAAACCCAGATGTTCATGCCACAAGAGATAAGATAGACAAGTGGGACATCATTCAACTGAAAAGCTTCTGCAAAGCAAAAGAAACCATTAAGAGAGCAGGGAGACAGCCCACAGAATGGGAAAAAATATCTTTGTCAACCAGTATATCTGACAAAGGCCTAACATCAATAATCTACAAGGAACCCAAATGTGCCAAAAGAAAAAAACAAATAGCCCCATTAAAAAGTGGGCAAAAGACATGAATAGACACTTCTCAAAGGAAGACATACAGCCAGCTAACAGACACATAAAAAAGTGCTCAACCTCACTATTCATCAGAGAAATGCAAATCAAAACCACATGAAGATACCACCTAACACCGGTAAGAATGGCCATTATTAATAAAACAAACAACAACAGATGCTTGTGAGGATGCAGAGAAAAGGGAACTCTTCTACACTGTTGGTAGGAATGCAAACTAGCAACCTCTATGGAAAATAGTGTGGCACTTTCTAAAAGAACTAGAAATCAACCTTTCATATGACCCAGCAATCCTGCTACTGAGAATATACCTGGAGGAATGCAAATCATTCCACCAAAAAGATACCTGCAAATGCATGTTTATTGCAGCAGTATTTACAATAACAAAAGTATGAAACTAACTGTGCTGCCCATTGAAAGTGGACTGGATCAGAAAATGTGGTACACATACATGATGGACTATTATGTAGCCATAAAGAAGAACAGACATATGGACTTCACAGCAACTTGTATTTAGAGTCTGTCATACTCAGTGATCTATCAAAGAAACAAAGAACTGAGTACCACATGTTCTCACTCATAAGCAGACCTTGAACATTTACCATAATACTATAAGAAAGGGACTGGCTGTAACGGGACATGCCGGGGGAGGGAGGAGGGGCACATAACATCAATTAGTGTACCTGATCTCAAACTAGGCGAAGTGGGAACCAAAAGAAACTTCAAACTTTACCTGTATGATAGCCACTTGTATGCCTAACCCTGAACTGTACTCCACGTCTTTAAAGTGAAATATAAAAAAATAAATAAGTCCTTCAGGGAGAAGGAAAATGGTCTCAGATGGAAATCAGGACATTTCCCAAGGTTGCTCAGCTGTAGCACTACTCATATTTTGGAAAATAAATTTTTGTTGTGGGGGAATCTCCATACACTAGAAAATACTATTACTTATATCTCAATAAACTTGATTTTTTAATAATAAGAAATGGAGACCCAAACTTTACCTGTACTATGACCACTCGTATACCTAATCCTGAATTGTACCCCATATCTTTAAAATGAAAAGAATTGAGATTTTTAAAAAGCTTTGCCTTGCTTTCTTATAACACACTCCACTTCCTTTGCAGGTGCCACATGGAGTTCTCCATGTCACCCTATGGAAACTGGGGCTTGAGAAACCAGAGCAAATGCCAGCACTCTGGCTACTACTTTGGAATATTTTAGGCTCTTGTCTCTGACCCATTCATTATACTGTGTAGACTAACTTGTTAGTTGCCAAATAGAGTCAAATCCCAGATCCTTCTCAGGTCTTGGCAAGAACTGTACTCATCTCTTGGGACAGTTCAGTGAATAAAAATGACAGTGTCTGTCTTCATGAAGCTTCTTCCCTTGCACTTTAGTTGATGAAGACAGGCAACAAAAAACAGGAAATGATTATAAAATATATCAGATTATGGTGCACATTATGGAGAAAAGGACAGATAGGATAAAGGTGCTGAAGTATTTGGGAGATATTTATCATAGAGTGGGCAGAGAAGGTCTTGCTGATCCGGTGATATTCAATCAGAGACATGAAGGAAGTGAAGAATGAAACCCTGAAAATTCTAATAATCTGTGTTCCAGACAGAGAGAATGGCAAGTGAGAAGGCTCCAAGGCAGGAGATGGCTTGACATGTTTGAGAAACCCCTGGGATGCCAGTGTGGGTTGAGCAAAATGCCAGAGGGAAAAATGGGAGGTGGGAAATAGGAAGCAGTGAAGTTGCAGGTCACAGCGGGCCATGCTGGCCATAGAGAGGACTTTGTCTTTTACCAAAGGGAAAACTTCAGACGTATGGAGTGCTCTCTTGACATCTTTGTTGGGATGTCCTGTAGGTTCCTCAGATCTCATGTGTTCCACAGTGCTAATGTGATTGTTTCCCACACATCTCTTTCCTTCTCCCTGTTTCTCTTTCCAGTCAATGGCTCAAGGCCACACCTCGTGTTCTGATGCTTCCACTTCCCTGAGTTTGTTACCAAGTTCTCTTCTTTGTTCTATATCCAAAATAACCTCAGTTCCAGACACTTCTCACCGTCTTTCACTGTTGCCTCCAAGATGGTGCCATCACATCCCACTGGGTTTCTGCAGTTCCCTTCAGCCGGGTTCCCAACATTTACTGTTATTTCTTCCTCAAAGCTGTTGCCATAGGACAGCCTGGGATCTTTGTAGAACACAAATGGAATCTCTCCAGGTTCTCATGGCTCAAAGTCCTCAGGAAGGGTGTAGGCTCTGCTCAACTTGGCTCCCTTCCTGCCTCTCTTGCTTTGTTCCCCACCAGTTTCCTCCTTGCTCAGTCAGTCATGCTACACTGCTAATTCCTCTGATCCTGCTTCCTAGGACAAAACAACAACAACAACCAAAAAAGCTTTTAACTTTCAAGACTGAGGTTTAGAGGCATTTTCTGAGTCTTCCTTCATGTCCTTCTGCATTGAGATTAGGCCCTTCTTTTGTATGATTTCATGATACCCTTCTTTATGTTTAAGGTCAATTCTATAGCTATTAGATAATTATGTAATATCTCTTCATTTTAATAGAGCAAATATAGTTGTTTTGTTTATTACAGTACTTAGCAAAGTGTCTGGAAAATAGTAGGCATTAAATAAATACTCACTGAAAGCATGACTTAATAATAAATGTAAATACTGATTTTTCCGAAAGAGCCAGGTTTATGTCTTGCTCACAGCTGTCTCCAGGGTCTCCCATTGAGTGAGCTACCACTCATCAGTTCGCACAGGTTTTTACTCAATTCAACTACTAGTATAATCCAAACCCTCACTGATTCCCTGCTGCTTAAAAGCTCTTAGCTGAGTGCCAGGCAAACAGATTTGATGTCTGCCCTCTTGGAATTTAGTATTAGCATTGGTAGATATTGGTTGAAACAAAGTTTTTTTTTCTCATTTCCAACTGTTACGTAATAGTAGCTTTGGTGTCAGTAAGAAGATTCCGACAGCCACTGTTAAGGTGGGTTAATATTTGAGAAAAGGATTTGTTTCCTTGGGTCTCATAAACAACATGGGGAGGAGAGAGCTGACTGAGATCTTGTCACAGGAACGTTTTTGATAATGGCAACAACAGTGATAATTTTCAGATTTAGGCCTGCCTGATGCCAAAGCCGAGGATCTCTCTACCAAACCGTGATTTTTAAACATTTTGAAGGTGAGCCTAAAGTAGGAAATACATTTTGTTTTCTGGCCTAGTATATGGATGCGTATTAGCAGACAAACACACTACATTTTGTTTTCTGGCCTAGTATACGGATGCATATTAGCAGTCAAAAACCAAAGCCTTGTCTTACTATAGGCGCTGATCCTGGGACTTTCTATTCTCATCTGTTTTGAGTCACCAGTCTGGGTCTATGTTTGTTCACTACAGTGATATCTTGTAGACTCCACACAACCTTGGCTTTAAAAAATCTCTGCAATACTAAGATACAATTTTAGTTAGACTTGGCACAAAACTGTGATGGGAAATTTCATGATACCCTTCACAGCACTTAAAATAACCCGAGTGTGAGCTAAAGGAGCCCACTCAGCCTGGGAAAACACAGGCCAGGCTCCAGAGCGAATCTGCCCTCCCAATTGCGACATGACTTTGGGTAAATCATCTTTCTCA